GCTTTTCTTTCAAACATTAGATAATTTTGCTGAGCCCTAATATCAATAAAGGGAAATTAGTACCCAAGAGAATAACATAAATTCTGTGTTTAGCGTTATAATGTGTAATCATCTGAAAATGATGGTATTGGTATCCTCCAATCTATAAGCTTCATACCCGCCCTTTCAAAAAGGTATCCTTTTGTATCAAAAAGGTATCACCTATAACAGCAACATCATCCCCAGTGGGGCAAAAGTTTTCTCCTTGCATTTTGTTTTTGTTTGAAAGGATGTTGCAAAATTAAGATGTTAAATAAGTAATTCATCTGCCATGTACACCTCTCTCAATAAACCTTCATCTCTTTTTTTTCCTTCACAGCAAAATACCACTAAGATCCCTTTCCTATATTTGAAATGCTAGGTTTCAGTTCATGATTTGAATTTCCATCCACTTGCATATCTCAGAAGAGAGAACAACAACACATTCTTTTGCTATAGCAACACATTCCTTTGTAGCACAAAGTTATCTAACTTAGGGAAAGGGTCAGGTGAAAAAGATGTTGGAATTGCAAAACCTTTTCTCTCTTCTGCTCTGTATTTATTGTCCCTTTTAAAAAATTCAGGACATAATATGACCTTATCTGTAAGAGCTTCTGATCCAGGAAAAGATGCAAGTGAAATAAGAGATGCATTTGTGGAAAAGGTTTCCTGACCACAGCTACTGCCTTCTCCTACTGCTTCTTGGCATAATAGCTGGTCAAAGACAATGACATTACAGTGAGGATTGAAGACTTGGCTGTCACATTTAGGGAACTGGCCTTAGGAATGGGAAAGAATAAGCAAGCCATGAATGGGGGCTTTCAGAAACTAGTACTAAGATTTAAGAAAAAATGAAGTGTATGAATTAAAAACTCAAAATAAACCAACCTCAATATAGTTTGCTCTAAGAGGGGACAGGCTCTTAAAATTCTCTTATTCATTACAATAAAAAACATTCCTTCAATCTCTGACATGGCTCTTTGTTGATATTCCCTGCTTCAAAGGCTGACAGTTCTCCAGAGTCCAAGTGGATCAATATCCAGTTCAATCACTTTTGATGAGGGAACAGTCCCAGCATGATTGATCATATGCTAGTAGTATAAATCTACCGTAAAGACTTTGAAGTAGTTACCCACCTCATCAGAGATTATCTTCCCTCACTGGACCTTCTGATTTTAGTTCTGATTCCTGGAGAAAGAAAAAAAGTTATTGAAGTACCCAACACAGGTGATCCAACTAATTCTGACTGTAGGATCATGGGTACTCACCATTTCTACCATCTTTCCTAAACCATGGTCTGATAGGGATCACATATTTGTGAAAGAACAACATATTTGGGCTTATGAGAATACAATGGTGTACAATGACATTCCAAAAAATAACAACAACAACAATTGAGGAAGGACAGAGGTTTGCCCTACAAAACTACAGTATTCTGTTAGACAGAGACAGTCATTTGTTTGGGGGCTCGTTTTGTGACCCCCAACTGGTGTACAAAAATCCAGCAGTAGCTGCTTAATGCTCTTACAAACCTGGGCCAGATATTTTAGTGCCATTTTTATGCTCCCCAAGTGACAACCTATGTGCCTTGTCACTAGATGACTCCTTCCCTGAATGGCCCCCGATTTGTCTTCAAAGATCAAAACTAAATTTGTAAATTAAGAAATGGTAAGGCACTCAGCTTTGATTTAATTATGCCAGAATTTTAAACATCTAACCCAATAGTGCCCATAGAAATAGCTCCTTGAATATTCCAAAAGAGTGGCTAAATTCAATCACTTTTCCAATCGATAAAAAGAGAGACCCTGCCAATTTTGGACAAGTTAACTTGCTATTCTCAGTTAGCAAACTTTATGCCAGATTTCTATGCAGCAATCCAATCCAATCCAATCCAATCCAATCAGATTGGATTCCCAGAGAAAACACTTGGGCCTGAGAACAGGTGAATTTAGGACCAGCTATTCCTCAGTGGTCCAGTGTGTAAAATTACCTCATTTGGCCAAAAAATGCTCGAATCCTCCACAAGGGGGCTCATATGTTGCCTTTATAGATCTCAAGGCTCCTTCTGACTCTATTCCCCATGACTGTCCTTGGAAGAAGCTCATCACTTCTATGGTGGTCCATCAACACCTCAGGCTGCTAACAGCTTTATAATGTGGCACTTTCATCTGGATTAAAAGTCATTGCAATGGTGATCTATTGGTCACCATGGTGATCTATTGGTTTGCCATTGCCTCCTTCGTAGGGCTGAGAGAAAAGGACTGGCCCAAGGTCACCCAGCTGGCTTTGTGCCCACGGCAGGACTAGAACTCACTTAAAAGTCATTGCAATGGTGATCTATTGGTCACCATGGTGATCTATTGGTTTGCCATTGCCTCCTTCGTAGGGCTGAGAGAAAAGGACTGGCCCAAGGTCACCCAGCTGGCTTTGTGCCCACGGCAGGACTAGAACTCACTTAAAAGTCATTGCAATGGTGATCTATTGGTCACCATGGTGATCTATTGGTTTGCCATTGCCTCCTTCGTAGGGCTGAGAGAAAAGGACTGGCCCAAGGTCACCCAGCTGGCTTTGTGCCCACGGCAGGACTAGAACTCACTTAAAAGTCATTGCAATGGTGATCTAACTGATCTGATCCCTATGTTCAAAGGAGTCAAACAGGGGTGCATTTTAGCCCCTCTCCTGTTTAATCTGTACATAAACCGTATCTTTGAGATCTTTAAACAGCCAGAATTTCACCCCTCTTTCCTTGCTCACTGTCGAGTCCATGCTGCTACATGCAGATGGTGCTGCCATGGTTTCCAAGAATTCCTTGAAATAAATGATTGAGAAACTAAAGTTCTAGTGTTTTTGAGAAAATGCTTTAAGACTCCTCCCACATAGAAATTTAATGGGAGACCTATAACACTGACTCAAAGGCCACACACACTGTTCGTAGAAACTGAATCGGAACTACTCTATTAATAACAGCTGTACATGGAATAAATCACAATTGCCTGGGTACTTTGTTAATTTACATGCGTGTGTGAGTGTGTGTGTCTTTGCGTCAGTATTGACTCTATTGATGAGTCCCTACAGTTTTCCTGGTAAAAATTTGGAAGTGGTTTGCCATTGCCTCCTTCGTAGGGCTGAGAGAAAAGGACTGGCCCAAGGTCACCCAGCTGGCTTTGTGCCCACGGCAGGACTAGAACTCACAGTCTTCTGGTTTCTAGCCCAGTGCCTGAACCACTACACCAAACTGGCTCTACTAGGTTAACGAAGGAGTGAAAATATGGACCCTTGCATCCTTATTTAAAAATCAATCAATCAATCAATCAATAGAAGGACATGGATTATGGCCTCAATAGACCTTTCTCAATAAGAGCACAATCTTCACTGCTCAATATGAGCTTTTTTGTAGCAGCCCCCAAGGACTTCCATAGGTAGGACATTATAGTGTGTTAAGGTGACCTCCAGAGTTTAGGAGAGTTATATGGTGCAGATATCTTTTGGGCCTAAAGTAAAAGGCCTGGCTTCTCAAGAAAATGTTCTTGCTTAGAACAGATTGATCTAGTTAGGCTTCCAGATCTTGGTAAACATGTTTTCTTTTGGCATTTTGCAAATAAATTACAACCTTAAGTAACTCTTTATGTCCCCAGTAATTAAATATAGCCTATAGTTTATTCTTCTCCATGTCTCAAAGGAATCCTAGAAGCCACTGACTAACCTATGGTCCCAGATTACATTAATATCTGCTAAATAGAGGCAGATAAAGATTCATGCCTAACCTCTGATGCTTGATTGTAGTAATGAGTGACTGGATAACTCAGACCCTACTCCTCAGAAACATGGGATCTACTATTTCATCACAAAATAGTCATAGTTTTTATTGAGATGATTATATTCAGAACACTAGTGTTAAGTTTTCTTCCTATGGTGATGGGCATTTCTCCTGTTCTTCACTGCAATATCAGTGGTCCTCTTCCAATTGTTCACAAGTATTATCAGTCCGGAGCCCTCTTTGTGGCTGCCATTATTTTTCAACTCTTCTTTCTTTCAAATGACATCACTTTTCAAAGTCTTCCTTCTCATGAAGTGCTTGATCAGTACCTGTAAGTACCATAGTTTAATCACCAACAATACCAGCCCCCGCCCCAGCCCCAGCTGCTTTTCTCTAAAGTTGTTTCGTTTCTTTCACTTTTTGTGCTCAAATGTATTACAAGTTGCACTTTACTTAATGAGCCATTTCTAAATTCTTAGGATTACACACATTTAACCTTTCCTAAGATTGGAATGTAAAGTGAGACAAATATTTCTGATGTATAGCCACAAAACTTTATGGATTCTACTATACACAAACACACACACCCAGCAAATTTCAAGACCTCTCCCTTCCACCTCCACCATGATTAATCATGAGGTCAATAGCATGACCAGTCTAGGACATTCAGATACTCTCAAAAGAGACTCTGGATATTCTGACTCATCTTGAGCTTCCTCTTCATCTCACTCAGGAAATGAGGCAAGAAAATCCTCAAGTACCCTTGAGAAATTATTTCAAACTTTTAAGCATATGGTGGGATATTTAAAGTATCAACCATACAAAAATACTGGGCAACCTGCAACGTTCTGCTCATAAAATTGAAATCACATGCAACTCCTCCCCCTTCCATTCACACTTAGTTTTGAAAGAATTGCATCCCATAGCAATCCTGAAAGAGCAATCTCAATCAATTTAGAAATTTCCCAGAATGGGAATCCTAAAGAGAGGAGAAACCAGGCTAAAACTGCTCTCTTCTCTCAAACGGAGGTAACCCCTCTCGGTCAGGGTTTGCACACCCATACAGTGCTGGGCTGTTGTTTTATAAAGACAAAATTCCAGGTATCCAGCAGAATAATTAGCACCATTTCTTTTTTCTGTGCATGAATATATGTAACAATAAAAAGTGGTACTTGTCAGATTCTATAGCGCAAATATATTGACCTAGTTTATCATTCTCCTGAAGGTTCTTCACTCATAACTACCAGCACACTTTGGCTCTAGCATTTGCTGTAAAGGAGATCAATGAACATTCCCAGCTCTTGCAAAATGTTACCCTTGGTTTCCATGTCGCTAGTGACAATTTTGAGGAGAGGTCAACTTACCTTTTAGCAATGGAATTTCTATCTACAAAAGACAGATTTGTCTCTAACTACAGGTGTGATATCCAAAACATTGCAGCAGCTCTCATTGGAGGACCCCGTACTAAGACCTGTCTCAACATGGCAACCATGTTGTACAACTACAAGTTTCCACAGGTGAGACATAGAAGAAGCTCCATGTAGCAGATGTTAAGTACTTAATTATTCAGATGTCGCCTCAGAGAGAACCAAGGATAGTAATGACAAAACTACCTTTGATATTTCATTTTCTTCTGTGTTTATGAAATGTTTTCCTGCTATAAGAAAGGAAATGCTCTTTATTACCTCAGGTAGGAATAGTACACCTATTTCTTTCATTGGGTCTTCAATTTTTGTTGTTGTTCAGTCATTAAGTCGTGTCCGACTCTTCATGACCCCATGAACCATATTGTG